GGGCTACACTGCTGGCTGGGCTGGGCTACACTGCTGGCTGGGCTGGGCTACACTGCTGGCTGGGCTACACTGCTGGGCTGGCTGGGCTGGACTACACTGCTGGGCTGGGCTACACTGCTGGGCTGGGCTGGGATACACTGCTGGGCTGGCTGGGCTGGACTACACTGCTGGGCTGGGCTGGGCTACACTGCTGGCTGGGCTACACTGCTGGTTGGGCTGGGCTACACTGCTGGCTGGGCTGGGCTACACTGCTGGGCTGGCTGGGCTGGACTACACTGCTGGGCTGGGCTACACTGCTGGGCTGGGCTGGGATACACTGCTGGGCTGGCTGGGCTGGACTACACTGCTGGGCTGGGCTGGCTGGGCTACACTGCTGGGCTGGGTTACACTGCTGGCTGGGCTGGGCTACACCGCTGGCTGGGCTGGGCTGGGCTACACCGCTGGCTGGGCTGGGCTACACTGCTGCTCGCGCACCGGTTGGGGACTCGTGCTTGGAAGGCAATGAGCTCGAATCCCCGATAGGTGACTGGCGTAGCTCGACCGAGATTTCACAATCTGTCACAAAGACTCAGACATAAAAGAGCCCGGTCCCAGACAAGCACGGAGGAACCCACCCCAAATCCCATCACCCTCTCAGCTCCAGACAAGCCTCGTGGGACAGCTGCTTAGGCAAAGCATATGGAATAAATGGATTTCAAATACCTCACCACCCGCGTCATTATCAATACGCGCACTGCCTCCTGCATAAAACAATGCACACGAACAGCTGTTTTATCAATCCACTGCTGGATGAGGGCCTCACCACGCCGCGCAGGTCGTGAGGGTTGTTTTGACCAGACGGAAACGGAGACAAATTCCACGGTCACGGAATTACAGGGGCATGCGGTCATCGCACGGACCTGGGATCTGCTTTTAATTCCACAGCCATATCAAGTGGCCCCGAGTGGATCTATCTAAACTCGGCAATTGGCTCTATAGGTACGGTACCAGACTACTGTGTAATACATAATCCTGTCGGACATTATATCAGCTTAAACGATACTGTGTGTTAAAACTCGTGACCTTCAGATGCAATGTTACTGTGCTGTAATTCCGTTTCCTTGAAACTTACCACGAGTGCTACTGTAAAGGAATGTGTCTCTGTGTGCGGCGGGGAGCGGTAGTGTAGTGGTTAGCGCGCTGCGCCACGAATACGGCGACCCGAGTTGGATTCCCGTTCACGGCCAACGCCAGTGAAGTTTATCTGAACCAGTCTTCGGCCTCCCCTAGGTCGACTCAGCCTCAAATTAGTACCCGGTGCGGTGTGTAAACATTGCAACTGGGGAGACAAAGGCGGCCGGGCGTGGGGCTGGCCACGCACCTCTTCGTGTGTCGTACCGGCCATCACAGGTGCTCGCTCACAGCACTTGCCCCAACAGTCCGCTGAGGCTATACGCAGGATCGTTGTGTGTGTGTGGTTGTGTGTTGCGGTGAGTGTGTTTGTACACGGGAGTGATTTCCAGGCTCACTGAGGTTTGACGCAGTGACTCTGCAGTGACTCTTCATCATCATCATCATTGCCAAGTGAGTGGCAGAAAGTTGTACAATGTGCGTGTTCTCAGCCAGACTGTCACATTACCAACGCCTTGATATACGTCACATGTACACATTAATTGGGATTCGGAGCGGCGGCGCAGTGGTGAACGCACTGCGCTACAAACGAGTTCGAATCCCGACCACGGCTGGCATCAGCTGTGAATGAAATCGTAACCATTCCTGCCCCCCCCCCCCCTACATACAATATTATTATAGAGATTACATGTATTGTACATCGATACAAAAAATATATAATCGTTTGATATTTTAGGCTAATCTGTACAGCAATGAAACTCTGTACACGTGACCCCGCAGATGCGGGGTCACGTGCCGAGGAAGGTGTGGTCACGCTCAGGGTTGGAGTTGTGGCTGTGACCAGGGCTGGGTTTGTGGTTGTGGTTGGGTTTTGAGTTATAGCTCGGGTTAGGGCCTGACAGGCGGATGCTCTCACCCCCCCCCCCTCTCTCCCCTGTGCGTGGGGCCTCTTAACAACACCACGGGTATCCCCTCACCCCCTCCCTCTTCACCCCTGGCCTCAACTCTCCTCCCATTGACCCCCCCCCCACTCCCCGCTACCTTGCCCAACGCCTCCCCTCCCCCACCACGCGTCTCGCCCCTAATCGATGTAGCGCGTGGAGTGCGACTCCGAGTACTTCACTGGGCCCTGAAAGTAAACGTCAGCACTAGAGAGAGACAAAGGCGGCCAGAGCATGGTGCTGACCACACCACCCCCACACGACCGCGACCAACACTTTGCCCCAACAGTCTGCGTAGACTGTGCACGTATGTCGCGATGCGTGTGTGTGTGCGGGGAGCGGTGGCGCAGTGGTTAGCGCTGCACTTCGAACCCGGCAACCCGACTTCGATTCCAGCTCACGGCCAAGACCAGTAACGAATATATTAACCGATTCTGGGCTTCCCTGGGTCTACTCAGCCTTAAATGAGTATCTGGTGTGGTGTGTAAACCATCAGCACTGGGGAGACAAAGGCATCCGAGCGTTGTACTGGCAATCCACCCCCTCGTGTGCCGTGCTTACCATAATAGGTGTTCACTAACAGCACTTAGCCCAACAGTCTGTTAAACGCTACATGGGTGAACTTTGTCTTTGCCTCGTTTGATTGTGAATGTGTCTGTCTGTGATTGTATATTTGTGTGCATGCCGCACTTGTGTGTGTGTAAACCTGTTACGAGCAGCTAGCACCACGTGAATCGCGCTCTCAAACAAATTTACTCAGCATAACGGATTTGCTAAATGTTTATGTATTATATTTCACGACCGAGCGGCCCCACTCTCACTCTCAAATCCTCAGGTCTGAACACACACAGGCTGCACTAAACTATGCGACCAATTAGCGAGCGTTGGGGTTTGGATCATCTCGAGTCCAGCTCGAAGTTTGGGACTTAGCAGCTTAAACCGTGGCGCGGTCGTAATTGCGGCGATATTTTTGGACTGCATTCAACGAGGGCCTTTGCGAAAATAAGAAAGTGGCTCAAGTTTCAGAGCCAACTTGAGCCTCGGAGGCAGCTGGCGGTGGCCAGGCCCTGCGAGTAAACGTGAGCTCCCCCTCGCCTCCCCAAACAAAAATATAATTCACACCAATCCAGACCCTGCCGTCCTAAACGCTGTGCGTTCACTCCAACGCGCTCCGTGTCGTTTGCGTGTCTGGGTAGGTTGAATTGGTCACTCAGGATGCCACGCGTGGCTTGGGACTCTCCACCGGCCCAGGGTTATTGGGTGACCCACAGGCAGGTCGAGGTCTTCAGAGGAGAGACCACATTGGGAGGGGGAGGGGTGTTGAAGAATGCAAATTGGTTCTTGGCAAACGCGTCGGCCGTAAATTTCCAAAACACGCACCGCACACACTCGCCATCAATCACGGCCCAAGGAACGGCAGTGTTCTATCGTTGAACTCCAGATGTGCTCTGTAATTTTCATCGCGACGTTCCTCCTCCATTCATCAAGCACTGAGCGGCCACTCGGCGAGACCCACGTTGTAAATGTCTCGCCACGGGCGTTACCGTCTCAAGAATGAAGCTAATAAGAAGGAACGCCTCCAGCAGCAGCGGCGGGAATAATAATCATAATCGGACGCTATAACCATCGTAGAATGTAGAGACCCAGGTGGGTGAAGGAGGGGGAGAAGCGATCGGCCGCCGTTGATTGTGACTTAAGAGGGCCGCCTTCATGAGCTCTCCAGACACCCGTAATTGTGTCACCTTTCCAATTTCATCCACTTCCTAACCAATTACTCGATGTGCCTTATCTCCAGCAGATTCACAGAATTTGGCCTGATTAGTTATTTCATTAATCTCCACTTCCCCCCCCCCCCCCCATTCATTCAGATCCAAAAGCATTCAGCCCTCGAGCGGTTGACCGAGCGCGCTAACAACTCAGCCGCTATTCAGGCGCCACGTGGCGGTGCTGTCACACCTGGCTCTGGATACGCGTGAGGCATTGGCACAAACTTTGGTTGTCCCGCATGGGAAATGGGTAGCAACAGATACTGGTGTCACGCGTGGTGATGTCAGTGGGTAGTGTCACACGTGCTACGACGTTTTATGGTGAGCGCAAGCTGGCACGCGTGCGAGCGGAACGTGTAGAATTGTCACCCGACTACGGCACGGTGACACGCGCGCGGATAGTGTCACAACCGTCGCTTGTGTCGTATTTGAGCTGTAATAACGCGCGTGACTGCAGGGGCCACACACGTGGTGTCAATGTCACATCCGAGGTGAGTAGTGGCACACACGTGGGTGGGAATGGGACGCGGGAGTGGTTTCAAACCCGAATGGCAACGCGTGGCATTGTCGTGACACACGCGAGAACACGCATAGGTGCCAGTAATGTTACGCGTGGCTGTGGTTGCCACACGTGGCTATGGCACACACACATGCCAGTAGCACCATACGTAATACCGTTGGGTTTATACGTGGCTGTATCACACACACACACACGTGGCAGTATGTCACACACACGAACAGTGTCTCACTCATACACACTCACGTGGCAGTATGTCACACACTATAAGATAAATATAAAATAATTTTACCAGGTAAGGCCCACTGAGCTATAAAGCTCATTTTTAGAAGCGACCTGGCCGCAAACTCAACGAAGTGGAGATTTATAGCAGCCAACGACTCTAGACGCATGTTTCTGAATGTGGAGGGAACAACCGGACGATCCGGAGAATAATCCACGCGACCACGGAGAGAGAAACACGCAAACTCCAAATATACATCAGGCGTCAGGGCCGGGATCGAACCCACGGCCTCCTTATACCAGACGCGAGAGTGAACATCTCCTAGCCACCGCGGCGCCCTACACACACAATAGTAAGCTGGTCTCGTCTCATGCACGTGTCAGTATCACACACGCATGAACAATGTCTCAACCATACACACACACGCGCGCGCGCGCACGTACCTCGTACGACCACACGCACTGCGTGCCCGCGAACCTGCGCACGCAGCGGCCGATCTCCACGTCCTCGTGCGAGGTGTGCAGCTCGCGGAGGCACTGGCCCACGTGCGGCCCCACGCGCCGCAGCGCCTCGCGGCTGAAAACCATTCCCGGCCCGCCCATGCAGAAGTTCTCCCCGGGCTCGAGCGCCAACTTGCCCAGCTCCTCGGCCGTGCCCAGCCCCGTCTGGCCCAGGTAGTGCGGCTCGCTGCTGTTGAGGCCGCGTAGGAACTGCTCCAGGCGCTCGCCGCGCACGTAAGCGTCGTCGTCCGCGCGCATGAACCACTCGTAGCGGTCCAGGTGGTGGTCGTGCATGTACTTGAGCATGAGGAAGGACTTCTTTTGCGGCGGGTACGCGTCGTCCACGCCGGGCAGCGTGACCAGCGGCAGCGGCAGCTCGGTGCGCGAGCCCCAGCTCGAGAAGAACTCCACGGTGCCCGGCACGGAGCGCACCCACGTGCTGAACGCGGCGCGACCGCGCGTCTCCAGGTACTTGTGCGCCGTCATCACCCCCACGTACAGGAAGTTTTGCGGGGTCGCCACGGCGCGCACCGGGGCACCCAGGGGGTCCAGCCGCCCTCCCCAACCGCGGCCACCGCCGCCTCTTCCTTCGTCTCCTCCCGCGCTCCCGTGACGCCACGCCGAGCCGGCCGCGTCTCCGACGGCCAGATGCGCCTGGCAGCCGCTCCCGAGACGTCTCCTGCCGTTGCCGGAGACGGAGCGCGGCACCACCAGCCATGTGGCGGCCGTGAAGCCCAAGACCAGACCGAGCGCCGCGCTCATCCACGCCCGCCGCCTCTGTACGGCCATTGCGGGGCCGCTACAGCGGCGGGGATTCCAGCGACAGTCCGCACCTTCCAGCGCCTCCGACACCTCACCAGCCTCCTCCTCCTCCCCGCTAAACACCTCCTCCTACTCCTACAGCAGCGGCAGACGCAGCGGCGGCGACCGCCCCTCGGAGCCGTCGAGTCCGCTACGCCCTGACGACGCAGGAGCGCATTCCCTCGACGGAGTGCCTCCTCCCTGTGCTGCCACGCTCGCTCTCCGCTCGCACTCCACGCGCTCTCTCGGCTCGCCCGGCTGTCACGGGGACGCGGGGATGGAGACGGTGGCGGGCACGCCGGGAGTCCTCGCGGCCGCGCCGCGCGCTCGCCGCCCTCCTCCTTCTCGCTCTCCTCCTCCACCCGCTCCTCCTCCTCCTCCGCCTTCTCGGCGTCCCGCGCCCACAATCTGAGATCCTATCCCCTCTCTCGAAGCCATTTTGTCGGCGCGACGTCACCCGTCGTCCATGGCGGTGCGCGGCGTGGGGGTAGCGAGAGAGCGCGAGCGGGGTGGTGCGTGGGAGTGCGTGGACCCCCCGCGAGAGAGAGAGCGCAGCGCGCGACCTGGCGGAGGAACAGCGACTCGCAATCTGTCTCCAGCCCGTCACTTTGTCTAGCCCGTCTCGAAAACCTCCAACCTGTCTCACTGCTTGACCCACACTCACTGCCTGTCCCACTAGTCCGCACGTCCTACCGCCACGCGACACGAGGTCTGTGAAACTTCTAAACCCGCCGGGCTACGCCAAACAGAACCTGAACGTGTGAACCCATCTGCGCGGACACGTGTTTTATCCCCTTGTCAGCGTAGTCTCCTGTCCTCCCACACGGAATCGGCCAAGCCATTCCGATGCAAGGTTCGAGTCTGGAGACTCGGAGGGAGGCATCGCTGTGGATACATCTCACACCACTGTCACCACCTGCCGTGCCTCTCTTACACAATGCTGGAGCAGTCCCCGACCTGTGGCGGCGGGGAGATAGCGGGATCCCTCCAGGCCATGGGATCCCTCCAGGCCCTGGTGTGCAGTTGTACTACAAGCCTGCAGACGCGACAGCGATGGGCCCCCTTAACGGCATACGTGGACAGCGTTGGCTACTCGCAATGGGCTCCCGCTGATACTCGCACCAGCCACTCACCCCCCACCCGCCAGCTCAAATGTGTTGCCTCATCACACCTGCCGCCCTTGACAGAAGCATACGCATCAAAATACAAACTACATGACGGTAGAACAGATTAGAGCAAGGCAGAAGCCGTGTAATTACATTGCATGAGAGTGCGTGCCAAGCATTAATTTTCGTGTCTCACAATATTCATAAGTTGGCAATGCCGAGTGCCGACGTGAAAGCCGAGTTTCAGTGTTAACGCGTTTTCAGTGTCAATTTTCGTATCAAGTGCCAGAATTCATCGTTGCTCACGTCTAGTTTTAGTGCAGTGGCAGTGTCGCGTGTCGATCTCAGTGCTGCTGTCAATGCGAGTGCAGTGCCAGTGTTCACGTGCCGTGTCAGCGCCCGATGCTCTCTGCACGGTGGTGCTGTGACCCCCCCTGGTGACCAGCTCGAGTTAGATGTAATTACAGACTTTTCAAGTCCACCGATTTCCCCACTCGAACAAGCGCGGGGCTCATCGGACCCATAGCCGGTGAGGAAACTCCACATTCCAGTGACAGCAGCGAAAATGTATGTTCGACCACATCATTGTAGACTTTCCACCATTGTACTTGTTTTATTAACACCGGAGGAATGGATGGGTCGATTCGGGCCATCAGCAACACCTCCAGCACACGACGATTTCGTATTTGTTTCCATTGCAACGAATATCAAGATCAGTGAAACAGCGGGTTTGAGATGCCAAGATATTCCCTAAAAAGCATCAAATCATGAGTTGTGGCGCTGGGGCCATTTGCATTGAAACCGCCTCCTCCTCGTGCCTCCACCCTCCTCCTCGTGCCTCCACGGAGAGACGATGGGTCGGTTTCAACTCCAACTGGGATGTTAAACTGCAACCCTCGACTTTAACGAGCAAGTTGTCCACTAACCACCTGGCCAGATAGATAACGCACAGCATTATTGATACTTTTGCTGTAGTAGATGCTATTATTTTGTTATTCTATCGACGATTACATATACGTTTTTGCAAACAAAAACCTCGTCGAGTAACCGACTGTGGAAGCACCGGGCTTCTCTCTCCCACGACAACCACAGACCTCGCGACACCACGCCCCGCATTGGACGATCGTAGAATCGCCGCACTTGTGAACGCGCCACCCAAGCAGCGTCCCGGCGGTGTCGCTGCGATCCGTACAGGGCCTACTGCTGCCTCCTTGAAATGGTTGACAAAAAAAACTTAGTATTCAACTAGAACACATTTCAAAAGGTTGCTTTTCCATCCTGTCATTAAATTTAAAACAAAAATTTCCCTCCGAATTATTAGCCGGCTGCTTGGAGTACAGGATGGGTCAGATGCAACGCTCTTACAAATGTAGCCTGGCAACTGATTAACAACCAGTTACATTCATCAGCAAAGTCCAATGACCTTTAAACATTACTCGATATCCTAAGTTTTCTATTTTTATGACAACAAAAAGACGCTGAATTCACTACACTGTAATTATCTCCGGTAAATAAGGACCTCTTCGAATAATTAAATAATCGTTAAATAATAAAGTGCCCCTCCGCTCAAGGGTGCAGTAGACCCCGAGCCAGCGCTGCTATTTCCACGGCGCTACATCACCTCCTCCGCACGACAAACACCGTTAAACTAACAATAGTGCACTTAATAACAATAATAATAACGCTCATTCGTTGACCGCATTTCCTCTGCGTCTTCCTTTAGACTCAACGACGCGTGCAAACGTGACCGATCTCCTCCGCTTCCCTCGGAAGCCGAGTGTCCTCAAGACCACGAAGCATCTGATCCCAGGTCCCCGTGGATCCGGGGCTGCTCTCCGTGCCGCTGCTGGTGTCGCTGCTGGGCGACGGAAAGGGGTTGTCGATGGCCTGGAAGCCGTCCTGGGGGCCCAGCAGGCTGATGGAGGTGCCGCGACAAACCAGAAGGCCCAACGGCCGTGTGTCTCCAGACATGCGGTACGGCTCTTCTGCATCTGCATCATCCGTAAAATCATCGACATCATCAATAATGTCAACAGCAGCAGTATCATTACCAACATTAATCATCATCACTATCGTCACCAATAACATCAACAACAAAAAAACACTTGATTATGATCGTCAGATATAATCAGCACTGGTAGCATACAAATTAACAATGACATCATAGATAAAATAAATCATCAGCAACAAATATCGCCAGTCACCATCGACATAAAATAATAATAAACTATTATTATCACCACCACCAAAGATAACATCAGCTTTGTCTGTATGAGAAACATCAACAATGGAAACTTTATCAAGAATAATGAGTGTCAACAAATAACAGAAGCAGCAATAATACCAGCAGACTATAACATCGTTATGAAGTAAACATTTACATAATTAACAAATGACATCAACGTACCTGTCAACATCAACAAAAAACTGTGCCTAAAAGTGAATCAATCGGTACAAAGTGTGAAATTGCTAAAGAAGGCAATTATTTGGTGGTGCACTAACGCAAACAACTCGACACATCAAAGACGCTGCCTTAAACATAAAAAGTATATAAACGGGCAATGTTTCGGAAAATCGCCTTCTGCATAGTACACAGGCCAGAGAAGTGCAGTGGCCTCTCCGTGCGATGTGAAGAACAGCCATTGCCCAAAACATTGCTGATCATCATTAGTATTTTTCAGGCAGTGTTATTGACGAATGCTTTTGGAGTTTTTCCTATACTGTAGCAGGTTAATTAAAATCCCAACGTGGCGCCGTGCTGTCACTTGGACGAAAGATCGCCGTTCCGGCCCACTGGCAGTCGTGTAAAATATGCTGTTGTCATTTCCATTTGACTTGTTCTTGAAATATGAGTGCCATATTATAATAACCAACCAGCCTGCATCACGATAACCCATTATCAAAGCTGCATCGCAGAATACATAATTTGGTTACTCAAACCGAGGTCCCTTGTCTGGATAGCGTTTCAACAGGTGCTATAGGCTGCAGCGTGACTACATTATCAGCACAGGGCAGAGCAGCAAAACATGTGGTTGTACTGTACTATGTTGTAAAGTCTGCGTTCCTCATCCCCTTCACCAACCCGAAGTGACAAGCATGGTGAAATGTTGCCAAGTAAGCCCCACAATCCAATGGGGCGTGGGAAGGGCCGAGTCCAGCAGTGGGTCACCAACAGGGCTGTAGGACGAGTACCTCGAAGGTACTCGGTAGCCCCGTCCAACACGAGGTTCACCAGGTGGTCGAACCCCTTGAGGACCCCGCTCACTTCAGGATGGGCAAGGTGGGGTCACAGGAGGGCAGGGGAGCAGGGGGATCAAGGGGTGGGGGTGAGCAGAGGAAGCAGGCAACCAATTTATCAATGTTTATACAGCACACTTAACAGTCATAACAGGTCTCTCACAACGCTTTGCATATGCTACAAACATATGATGACTATTAAACACAATGCATTCAATTTATGACACCATCATCCAACTGTTTAGTGCCACGAGCTGGCATCAGCAGATCCCTCCTTGCCCACTTTCCTCTGCCAGTAAAACCGGCCAGGCTGGTCTTGGTTCGGCCACGAGCATCAGGTGTGGCCGTGAATAACCCCAACACGCGTGTTTGTTGATGCTATTCTCCACTGCGGGGAGCACGTAATTGGTTTTTAGACAATACAGCGACTGCGGTGACGATTTATATGGGAAGCCTCGGGGGGTCCCGTGTATTCATAATGAACAGCAATTCTCTCCAGCGCGCCTCCTCATCCACAAGCGCTATAGCTCCTTGTGGGATGGCGCTCGTATTGCAAGTAGACGAGGTCGCGTCACGGCCAGTGCCATCAACATCCATTGCACCTCTATATCATCACTTTTGCTTCCTTGCGCGAGATGCCATAACAATTTAACGGTCGACACCAGATTGATCGCCAGGTCTGGCTCTTAAAATATTCCACCATCACATATTTTACTTGGCTAGTGAGAACGTGGGTGGCCCTCTCCGTATTAGGTGCTGTGTGTTCTTTAGTGCCTCCTCTGTGTTACTGTACAGCACTGTGTGCTAGGAGTGGCCACAGAATGCCTGACTACCCAGTAAAATCATTAAACGCGAAGCCTTACACGACCCAAAGTGCCAACTCCTGCTCCAATGAACGACAGGGCAATGCTCGTCTTTGTCGGTGGCCTCGAGCCGGTGGTGGAACATTCCGCATTACCCAAGGTGTTGGAGGGTTGAGAATAAAGTCTATCAATTGGATGACTGAAAACCTCTCACAAATTTGTACTAATTTTACCGGCCCATTTTTTTATCATCCTTGACCCCTGATATTCGTCAAGGCTCATTTAATGTATTTATACGTCCAATTCATTATTTAATCAATACACTCCGTAAATTAATAAATTCACCCATTGTTTCACTCATTCGTTCAATGAACTCACTCAAATGTATTAATCGAATTCACTCATTCGTTTAAGTCATTCGCTCATTCAATGCATGCACTCATTCAATTTACAAATTAGGCTCAATTCATTCATCCATTCAACGAATGTGTGGCTTAGGAGAACCCACCGGCACGACCCCCGAAAAACCTCACGTGGACGCCCTTGTTGATGTATTTGGTGAGGTCCAGAATGGCTTCACCCTTCTTCACGTTGCTCTAGGGCCGGTGAAGAAATGCTCATTGTGAACACAACCCCTGCAGTGCCACGTGCCTCCAAGTCTTTACTCACAGTCAAATGTCACGGGATCCCTTGACGTAGCGTCTCTACTCAACATGCTTTAGGCACGGATGAAGCTTTCCTGAATAAAAGAGTGAATGTCACCGCCTGTATTTTTCAGTCTATTTCGTGTGAATTAATTTGTTTACAAACTAATAGGCCTACAGATGGGGTAGTGTTTAACTGCATAATTATAGTTCAAAAATTTCCATCAGGAATTAAATAAAAGGGTGTTCCAATCCGAAATGTATTACGTCTATTAAGTAATAACTGCACATTTCCATCAGGGTCGTTATTGAATCTCATTACAATTAAAGTGTTAAACGACGTTAATGACTGTTGTTACAGTACAAGATTACATATTAGTGCAATTAGTCTCCTCACGGGATCGCATTCGGCGTAAGAGATGATTTGTCGCATACGCAATTAGCTCAAATTCTAGGCGTCCTCATTGAACCGATATTAATTTTACACATTTGTTTGAGCATTGTTTACAATTTAAATTGTATTTTGAAACTGTGCTTTTTACAATCATCATCAGCCATGACCAATCCACTGCTGGATGAAGACCTCCCCAAATGAGAAGAAATGAAGATTGACTTATCAGTACAAAAGTTTTAAATGGGTTTTTTTTACTGTACACCTTGAATTGAGTTTTAACTCGCAGAGTTCTGAGAAACAGCTGCTTTGTTAAACCCGGTTTAGGTAGACCGGTTTATTACCCTGCCGTATTTAAAACAGCGATTTAAAAAATATATATTTCAGCTAAAACAGAGCCACGTGAATAGGAATTTGGTTCTGAAACTGGTTCAGTTTTGGTGGGGGATGAACTCAATCCGATAAACCATGTGCGGCCGATACAAATGGTAACACTTTGTGGTTGGTTAATCGAGATGCATAATCTGGATAATTAAGAGATGGATAATTAATCAGTGGTGGTTAACCGAGGTGTATAATTAATCGAGTCGAATAATCGAGATGTATAATCTGGATAATTAATCGAGGTGGATAATTACCAGTGCTATTCGGGAGGTTAACCGAGATGGATATTGCGGGTTGGCTAACCGAGGTGTATAATTAATCGAGGTTTAATAATCTGGATAATTAATCAAGATGGATTATAATCAGGGGTGGATCCATTTGGGTGGTTAACCGAGATGGATATTTAATCGAGTTGAATAATCGAGGTGTATCATCTGGATAATTAATCGAGGTGGATAATCAGTGGGTGGTTAATTGAGGTGGACCAATTCGCGTGGTTAACCGAGGTGTATAATTAACCGAGGTGTATAATTAACCGAGATGTATAATTAATCAATCGCGGTGAATAACGAATTAAGGTGGCGGAGCTGCCGCCGCCTCCACTCACTTTTCTCCTGATGACGAATGCTTGTGTCGCTATCGAAACGTCGTAGTTTTTTGTAAAAGAAAAAAAACCCATCTTGTTCTACGTCACTTTACCGAAAGAGCCAAAGAAGAAAATCGCGAATAGAGCTGCACTCACGTTCAAACGCGCCGCCATGGCCACGTGACGCCAAGTCCCTGCCGGTCACGTGACGCCCCGCCGCCAACCTCCCGCTCTTTATTTCCGGTTCCGCGTGACCCCTTGCCCCCTGCACACCCCGCCCCCACCGAGACGGCGAGCCTCGCCACCACCAAGTGCGCCCTTGATTGAGTTGTTAATTGAGTTCGTTGATTGAGTCGTTGATTGAGTTCGTTGATTGAGTTCGTTGATTAGGGCCGAGTCGGGGGTCATTAGCGCGGGCTCGGGGGTCATTGTCGCGTGCGTTCGAGTCCTCCTGTCGGGCCGACATGGCCACCGCGAGGCCGCTCCGAGCCACGGTCTTGTTGGCGGTGCCGCTGCTGTTGTTGTTTGGAGTCGCCATCGAACCCGTGAGTTCCTCCCGCTTGGGAAACCCCCCACCGCGGGTTGAGGGGATCAGGCTGATGGGGGACCAGAGAGCGAGGGGGTGTGGGAAGGAGGAGTGTGAAAGGACGGGGGTGAGAGGGTGAGGCTTCGTAGGGGTGAGATGTTGAGGAGGTTAGAGGTGTGAGGGGATGAGGAAGTGAGGGGATATGGGATTGGGATGAGAGGTTTAAGGGGTTGAGAGAGCGGGTGAGGGAGTGAGGAGGACATTTCGGGTAAGGGGATGTGGCCATGAGAGGTTGGGATGAGGGGTAGATACGGAGGTGTAGAGAGAGAGAGAGGTGAGAGGCTAAGAGACGCGAGGGAATTGGAGGTGACAACGTTAGTGAACAGGACGTGAGGGGATGAGGGTGAGGAATATCGGGGTGAGGCGAGGGGGATGATGTTGCAATGTGGATAAGAGAGGTTGGTACTGTATTTGAGATTATTTAATGGTTATTAATTGTTGTATCCCTTACTCCGTAGCAACTTAGGCAACTATTAATTTATCTATTTAAAATTGGTCATCAGAACACTTTTAAAATGTTATTCTCGTCAGGGCCCATGGTGTTAAGTGTAGTCTCCAACCTTATTAACTCTCCAAGTATTGTTTTTCTTTTAAGGCAGTGTTATTGATGAACGTGTTGATTTTTGTTATGTGTGCATGTTCACCACTGCGAGTGCTGCATCACCAAATACTGTGATTTGGTGTATGAGGAATCTGGGATTGTTACGGGGAATATGTAGTTGGTGAAGGGGCAGGGTCTGGACTGGCTCCTGGGGGTGTAACTCGCTTCTGCTGTGCCATCATTTCTGCTTGTCCCCCCACAGGTGCGCGCGGAGTACGGCCTCCTGTACGTGTACGTGGGGGACGCGGAGCACACGGCGGCACACCGCTACTGTGTGCAGTACAACCCGCAGTGGGGGGCCCTCCCCCTGGTCCCAGCCGCAGCTGTGAGCCCCCCAGTTTCCCGTCATAGTGTCACATCCTACCACACCGTTCCCCGACCCTTCCACCCTGTGCCGCACTTGCCACACACTGCCCCTCCTGACCACAATGCCCCACTGTGCCACGTAACACCCCTTGGAGCTGAGATTATCCCTTTTGTTTAAAACTAACATGTTTTGTAAAAATTGCCGATGTCTTGGTCAATGGCTTTCCACAGCAGTGAATAGATTCAGAATTTTGTAATCTATACTTTTTTCTGTCCATTTCGGTTTATTTGCAATGAAGGTGGTAAAATATGTTCAGCATCTTTTTTACATACTGTAATTTTAAACACTGAAAATACCTTTATTGGTTGAATGCAGATGAACACTTGTAGCTTCATTAATAAAATTTGTTAGATCCATCCCAGTTATGTGATTTTCCCGCAAAAGTTGTAAATAATGTATCCTTGTGAATTATGGTGTGTGTTAAGAGTATGTGCAGCTCGTTGGTACAGTCACGTTCATATTTAATGTAATCCTTTGTTGTATAGATATACTCCCTCCAACCAGAAGATAAATGATAAGAAACCTGAATTAAAATAATAAAAAATTGTACCTTCGTTGGTTATACTGGTCATGACTTTCAGTGGGGTATTTTGCTTTCTCATTTTAAAAGCTAATTAGAAACTCCTCCAACAGTGTTACTGTACAATTGTTATCTCGTTAGGCATCCCCGATCCAGCAATGTAAATTCCACCTTCCTATGACAGGGGAAAATCCATAAGAAAAACAATTTTGGCTTATTTTATAGGGTTATTTATGCTTGTGCTCTGGCTGTGATTTGAACTCGTGATCTTCCGGTTATGAGTCAGGCGCTCTAATCGCAGCACCACCAGTCTTTGCTGTTGTGGAATAATGCCACAGTCATGAGTTGACAGATTCATATCGGGGGTTTTCCTAAATGCCAGATTGGAGTGCACGTGGGTTACAAAGGAGTCGGCCTCTAGGTGGCAATAGAGGCGAGTTTTTCATGACGAGGCTTCACCAAAACAACCATGCACCATTCACTCAGCAATGTCGCTTCCATACCAGAATTAACATTCCCGGAACAGTTTCAGTTGAGCCCAGCGTGACTGGTAGGATATTTTAAATACAATAGGGCTTTTTATATTTTTTCGAATTGATATATCGGGTGAGTCGGCACCACTGCAGAGTTCATGGTTCACAAATCGTGTATGGATGTTGTTTGAACGAGAAAGGCTGCGAGAGAGTGACCTCTTTCCTTCTGACAGAAAAAGTGGCCCCTGCGCAACGCATCCCAATCGCTGCTCTGTAAGGCGGCAGACGTCCCTGCCGGTGGCTTTCACGCTGGTGCTGCCCTGGTGCAACGTGGGAACTGCACGTTCTATGAGAAGGCGCGCCTCGCGCAGTCCAGCGACGCGCTGGCACTGCTCGTCGTCAGCAAGGAGGAACTGGTGCGACATTTGTACACAGGTCCTGTATATGGGTATCTCATAATCTTGTCTGCATATGGCAGGGCAGTCGGTCATTGATTACTCAAGGTCAAGAGGTCATCGCCCCCAGTGTTGATTTGATACCCAATCTCCTAGGTCTCCTCTTATAGCATCCTCCATCTGTTTTAAGTCTTCCCCTTGGTGATCATCATCTGGGTGTTACTCGAATGTCTGTTTCGGTATATGACTCTCCTCAATTCTGCTCACTGGCTCCATCCATAACTTCTATTGCTTTTTTTCTGCAATTTGTTCTGAAAGTTATTATCCTATATTGTCTTAAGTTTCTTTACATTTTCTTGATGCAGCAGTATTCAAAGTCCATAGGATATTTTTTTATTAATTAACAGACAACAATAGAGCTCTCTCAAACTATTTTTCTTTACAAATAGTACCTTCATGAATTGCATTTTTGAATAAATTAATTATAAGTAAACCTTGTAGGTCGATTCACTGGCAGGTGCAAGCTTTGCAGACAAGATGTCTAGTAAACAGGAAGGTTTTTTCCATTTTCACAGTCATTTAAAATTTCACGAAAGGCGATAGGGGTTTGGTAGACCTTTTTACATTGAGCGTCTGTTCACCAAGCACATACACCAGTCATTTTCAGCTTGTGCTGTGCTCAACACCACAATCCAATTCCGATAAAATGGTCAATGTTATGTTTTTTCACACTGAGAAATAACGCTGCCCTCTGTCGTGTGGCAGGTGGCTCCCGGTGGCAATGCATCGGATTACGAAAACATATCTATCCCCATTGCAACTGTGAGCCACAAGGACGTGCTGCTGATGGGCAAGCTGGTGGTGGTGAGTATCGCTCGGCCTCTGGTGAGCCCACGCAAAAGTGCAGTGTGGGTTTACAATGTTTTGATCTCTCCGTGTGTGCTCCTGCAACAGCTGGATTGTTTGACTCATCTTCTTTTCATATTAACTCACACCCACACACAAACCTGCACACTCTGACATAGACATAATCCAATTAATGAACTTCTTCCCCCTTTATGTCAACATTGATGAGATCCTCCCCCTGTTCAGGTTCAGGCTCTAAACTCGTCCGCTTCTGCCATAACGCATCACTCTATGGTTTTACTAACATGTCTGTCTCCCATGTCATTGTCGTGTGTAGCGCATTGTAAATTTGTTTTCGCTCCCCACCTTCTATTGCTGCATGCCACCCCCATCATGTAGAGCATCTTGAAACAATAGATCAGTTCATACTGGCTTTCTCTGGTAAGATTGTCTCGTATTACATGTACGAGGCAACTGTATTATGGGCATTACAATAAAGCATTACATCAACATTAAAACACTGCATTATAAACATTACATAATACAATAACCAATAAACACACAAAGCAAAACCGTATCAGAAGAAAACGAGAGCTAAACATTACACAAACAATGCACAACAAATGCCAATAATATACAGTAAGGCCTTAGAGTTCGGGGGCTCAGAGTACGTGGACCTGCTCGTATGTGACCGACCCCGAGTCATACTTACACTTGTAATCGTACTTTCGCTACACGCACGAGGCGGAAAGCGAGGAGTCAAATCACCCCACCGCCATCACGCGGACGATGTATTTGAAGGTGTGAAATTGTATCGCCTGCGCAAGAAATGAGATCACCCAGCTATAGTATATTTTGTATTTATAATATACAGTACAGTACACTCATAGAGGCAAACCCCAACTTATGGGAATCTGCGCTTATGTGGGGGTACACGGAACCTAACCCCAGCCGCGTACGGTGAGTCCTTACTGTACTCGATGTAGGTAACAAAACACAGACAAACATTTCAGATGCAACACTATGTAAAAATAGGTAATAACACAACAATATAATGACATAACGATCTAATTTCTCAATTGGATGATTGTTTATAAAATGTGACCTTGGACTTGGGCAATCTCATGGGATTCTATTGCAGCAATCTCTAGGAATTGACCCACTTAGTCCAGCGTACCACAGGGGGCGAGGGGGGAATACAGTCACGTCTCAGTGTTTTATCAGCGCCGAGTCAATAAACAACCCCCAGAGGTTTATCTTTCTCCGTCTGTCCTGGTTTGCACATTCAAAGGGGCTTAACATGAGGCAATCACCAAGGATGGACTTCTCCATATTAATTATCTCTCAATTAAGTAAGCTACTGTTGAATTTATACGCTTTATTAATGCAATACGTATTGTACGTATTTTCTATGTTTGTTGAACTTATTTCGCACCATACATAGTCAGCTAAGCAGCGCACCTTGTCATGTATGCACATTTTTTTGCTTCACATGTGTACGCTTATACACGAGGGTGCTCCAACACAGCGGCAATACGCTTGTTGAATTAACCACTTGTTATATAGCTAATTCATGCGTTCTCAAGTTGTACCATGTGTTGTTTAGCATGTCGAAGCTCCTCCTAACGCACAAAACGAAACGTCTTCCAATGTACCAAGCAACTTGCGGTTAAATCCAAAGCTATATCGGAGAGCTAGACCACACAATGGCGAAAACCTACCCGGTAGTAACACCTCTTGCCTTGTCTCCCCCCTTCAACTCCCATCGCCTTGGTGCTACCCACACACGCTCGCAGCCCAAAAATGCCTCCTTGTTCGTGTCTCTCTCCGCACCCCGCGAGCCGCTGCTGGACTACAACCTGCTGCTGCTCTTCGTCATCGCCATGGGAACGGTTGCTGTCGGAGGATACTGGGCCGGCGTGCGCGACTCCCACGGGTGAGTACCAGGGGTGGGGGTGTTGGTGTCGGTTTGGTATGGGAGCTGTCGAATGAAGGAGTTGTTTATTAAATATGGAAAATATTTGCAATTCTGAGTCGCAGGTCTGTGTGGTTAACTGCAGCAAGTGTCATCATTGACGGGTTTTTTAGGGGGCATTGGTGTCATAAGGGAATGTGCACGAGACTGAGGTGTCCACTCGGGGGTATTATTATTGTTTACATCCCTTTGCAAGTCCACTGCAAAATGAAGACTCCCCATGCTCTGTACGTCAGGGGTTTATTGTAAGTGGTTCACATCAGTGCAGTATCAACCCCGTACCGACTGTTTCATAACTCAAGTCAATTCAAAGCATCTCAACAGTATTTTTGATCCCTTGTATAAAGGTGTCAGTTTTGGTGCCAGATAAAAGGGTAAAAACCTATTACTACATCTCAACAGTCCTGAGTCATTGGTGTAAATGTCACAGTTTTGTGGCAGGAATCGGTCGGATTTGAAGGTTCAAGTTGGCTCATGATGTCTATGTCATTGTTTCGGCGTGGCTATTACGGGTCCACCCATCCACCTCGGGTTTAGCGCCAAACACTGTCGTGTTCCGCGGCGACAGCATGTGGTTGAGTGTTTCACGAGCGGACAACGCATGGTGCGGCCCTGCCAGAAGGCGTTTCAAGTGCAAGCGCGAGGATGCAGAAGGCGAAGGAGGTGATGGGGACGGATACAGTGGTAGTGCGGAGGAGGAGGCTCTGGACGTGTCCCCGCTGATGATCTTCATCTTCTCTGTCATGTGCTGCGTCATGCTTCTGCTACTGTTCTTCTTCTACGACTACCTGGGTGCGTCTCAACGTCTGTAGTTGCGAGCGTGCCAGTGGCATGTGCGGTCTATTGTGTGTGAGAGCCGATGTGGCACTCTAATTCACGGTGTTCCGTTACGCTGTTACAATTTGAGCGGTACATGCATAATGCTTCCAATTCGTGTTTGGCGATATTGGGGTTTTTCTGTAGATTTTTGGTGAAAATGTGCTGATGTCTGCATCTTAAACAGTAGGACAAAGTTTGCTTGTCTCAGTCTTGTCGTCAAGATGCAAAGCTATCCCTTGATTACAAGTAAAATAATAAATGACATGGTCAAAACTATATTTTGTGTTGCAAGAGCACTCACTATTTAGAACCCTTATACGCAGTGTCACCATATCTTAGATCCATGCCTTATTTGCTTGTCTCTTTCCTGATAGAGCCCATATGTGGTGGATGCTATTTCCGAGCCGAGTTACGTTTTGCTGAGTAAGCTTTCAGCCGTTTTGAACTGTGATTTTGCGTGCGCCAATCTCTCGTGCATCTGTGTGAAAGTCGCCGGCGTGCGGTGTAAACTTGGATGATGAGCATACTGGTTTCGAGGAGTACAACCCAACTCGGCAATCACTATAAATACACATTGTATTTATTTTTGCACATGATTGCGTATCACGAACGGCGATGTGGCTGCTGATTGAGTTGTCAGCGAGGATTCATTTGTGCCTATCCCCTGTCTCCTTTCCCGCCGTGTGTGTGTGCGTGGTGCAGTGTACGTGGTTATCGCCATGTTCTGCCTCGCCTCGTCCATGGGCCTTTACTGCTGCCTGGCACCTCTCGTGCGTCAAGTTCCCCTGTGCACGTGCAGGTCTGGAGTTCCTGTCATTTGTCCATTGTCCGCTGCTCTCGTCGCCCTTTATCATTGCCTTCTCCAACTTTATTTTATCGGTGGCCTACTTGGAGAGCCGGGACGGAACTCATCGAGATATACGCCCACTCTGCGTGTTGGTGGAAATTGCCTTACCGCTGAATTTAGATTAAAATAATGCAGAGGTCAGCAGAAACTGGTAGCGGTTTGAGACATTTCCAACCAAATTTTGGTGAAAAAAAAAACATCACCCGTGAAGAAGGCTCAAAACACTTTCAAGGGAGACATAATAGAACAACATGGAGACATTAAAATCACACACCATAAATTGCACTGTACCAATGTAACATTTGAAAAAGTAAAGTAGAATCAAAATGATATACAAACTTTTAGTGGAAGACTTGGTCATAAAAGGTAAATTAAGCATTTTCTTCGAAAATGTGACAATGAATTCGCTATTTATTTATTACTGATTAGAAATATGAATGCAAAAAACCAGAGTTTAACTATTTCAATTAAAATAAACTATGTGAAACAATAAATAATGGTCATAAAAGCCAAGCATTCTTTCATGGATTATTTGATTACGTTGCACACCTTTAAACTACAACTATTGAAGAGTGATGCTGGATATGTTTAGTTTCTAACTTGTGTTTTAGGACGGTCTGTTTGCAAACTGGCCGAGCCACATGCCTGGCACGCCTACAAGCAGTCAAAGCGAGTTTTATGCAGTGCATTCTTTATGGAATCTTGTTGCAAGTGCTCGGTGTCCGTTTCATTCCGCATGTGCGCGATCGTTCTTATTTGTTGCATGTGTGCACAGCGGCGCACTCTCCATGGCCTCGCATTCACATTTGCTTCACCAGGTGCACGTTGTGCTATTTGTATCTGTGCACGTGTGTGTGTGTATATATGTGTTTCTGCATGGGGAGCGGTAGTGTCGCGGTTAGCGTGCCGCGCTACGAACCCAGTGACCCGAGTTTGATTCCTGCTCACGGCCAACACCAGAAATGATTATCTGAATAGACCTCCCCGAGGTCGATTCAGTATCTGGTGCATTATGTAAAACATCGCCACTGGGGAGACAAAAGCGGCCGCTAACAGCACTTGTCCCAAAAGTCTGTGAAAGTTTACAGGGCTTTTGTGTATGGCGATCAGTTGTTGGAGTGATTGTCGGTGCACTACCTAACTAACGCAGTGATCCAGGTTCAATGAATTCCTATAATTCGCAACTATAGTTACATATCTCAACCTTGCTTAGCCTTTCTCATGGTCAATTCTTCGTACAAGTGGCCATGAACATCGGCACTGGGGAAACACAAGCATATCGCTGTAACCACACCACTTTGTCCTTTGTGCCGGTATTACTCGGTCCTAACAAACAGAAGTTGTCCCAATCCGTGACTGTAATGAGACGGGGTGTGTTTCTGGATTTTCCATTCTCAGGCTCCCGGCCACATGGCGGCCCTTTCTGGGTGGCCGCCCCCAGGTGCGGCTGCTACTGCTGGGAGCCGGTTGCATGGCTCTCGCCATCACGTGGGGAGTGTTTCGCAACCACAGGTGGGGGGACTTGTCAAGTCTATCCTATCTAAAGAAGTGCTTTCCAACGTATAGTCCATGGCTGTGGGAAATGATCAGCCAGACTGGCAATTTTTTTTTTTCACAAAGCACCTTATTCTTTACTGCTTGGTGGTCCGCAGTAAAGTGTTGAAAGTCCGCGGGTCCAGAAGGGTTTGGAAGCGCCGCCCTAAAGGAAGACAAAACAATAAAACAAATGTTTCTTGTTGTGTAAATGCATACCTTGGCTGTGTGCCCTGGTGGCCGACAACAATGAGAAATAAACTTGTAATAAATAATAATTATGCGATTTTTATCCTGCCTGTTATGAGCGTGCTGTCACGAGATGAAATATTAATTTGGATATCTCGGAGAGTGATGCAACCCTTTGTGTTAGAGAACAGCCTACAGTAGTGGCTATCACCAAGTGGTCTCTGCAAACCTCTGGCACTGAGAGTAATGTTCTTCCCCTGATATTCAAACAGATAATTTTAATTCTCAGAACTGAAAGTTTGCCAAATTACGTACACGACCTACTTTAATTTGATTGGTTATTTAGTTGTGCGGTTATTGGTGACTGAGTTGAGGCCATCAATTCTTTATTCTTGATAACCCAGTTTAAACATAGGTCACTGCCTGAATGCAAACCCAAGATATCGGTACCTGTCCCAACACTTTATAAAGGTAATATGGGGGATCTTAATCTTTGTCCTTGTACTTGCATGTCTCGTAGCTGGGCGTGGGTTCTTCAGGATATCCTGGGGGTGGCGTTCTGCCTGAACATGCTTTGTACCGTCCGCATGCCCAGCTTCAGGGTAAGTGCACGCACATACGTGCTCACGCATACGCGCACGCGCTCCCACACCCGCACCCAACTGCTTAAATTCCACTTGCATCTCACCGCTTATGAGGCCAAACCACTCTGTCTTTATTCTGGCTTGGTTGATTTTTTAGAGCGAAAAGAACGTCTGGCTTGAAATAAGATTTCTCGTTCATATATAAGAGTATTGTGCCGATTTGTCTTATTTTAATTACCCGATGGCACGTGCCTCCTCGTTGACGCATGTTGGTATCGTCCTTACAGATCTGTGTGCTGCTCCTGGGGATTCTGTTCTTCTACGACATCTTTTTTGTGTTCATCACGCCATTTCTGACGAGCGTGAGTATCCGACCTGTGTGCACTGTCACTCGACGTGTAGCCCTGCATCCGCTAATCCCGTGTCATTGTCATTGATTGTTTTTATGAATTTTGGTTACAATGCATTAATTACTGGTTTGCTGTGATGCAACTGCCCCTTGCTAATAGGAATGTTGAAATTAAATCACTGGTTTTGTGCCACCAACAGAATTGAGTGTTGCCCAATGCTTGTTTCAATAGAGTAACAATAACTTGAGGTAAAGTTCGTGCTGCTGTGGCCATGCAATATTGAATTTGTGCGAGGTGGGTGCATGTGGGGTGTTCATCACCGAGGAATATCTGAACCAGTAGTGCAGCGGTTAGTGGTCGTTGCAGTTGTTAGCAAACTGCACTACGAATCCAGTGACCTGAGTTCCATTCCCGCTCATGGCCAACATCAGTGGTGAATGTCTGAACTGGTACTGGGCCTCCCTAGGTCTGCTCAGCCTTAAATTGGTATCTAATGTGATGTGTAGACATCAACACTAGGGATCAAAAGACAGTCGGGCGTGGCGCTAGCCACCCACCTCCTTGTGTGCCGTGCTGGTTGTAATAGGTGCTCACGAACAGCAATCGGTCAATCTTTATTTTATGTGCCAAATTCGCCCTCAATAAAGTAGGCATTGGTGCACATTACAGCAGAACGGGAACGGTACTGTCCCTAACAGTTTGGTAAAAGCTATATATGGAATCTTTGCCTTTGTGTGTGATGTACGCGTGTTGAACAGAATGGGGAGAGCATCATGGTGCAAGTGGCCACTGGACCATCCAAATCTACCAGCCATGAGATGGTACAGCGTCCGGATAGATACCAACCCCAGCATATACATAGCACACCCACAGCACTCAGCACAGCCATATTATTGCTCACCTCCACTAAAGGCATATGGTACAGCTTGCACTCCTCGTCTACATCAAACCCATAAAGCACTGCTCACATACAGCACATCCACACAACATTGCACACTCGCAGAGCATAACTCACATACAGTAGAACCACAGAACATCGCACACTTACAGGGCACATCACATACAGAACACCGACATAACAAACCTTTATCTCCCGTGTCACCTTCCTGTTACCCCTGACCCCAGCTGCCCATGGTGGTGAAGGTGCCTCGCTTGGCTGCAACCCCACTCTCCATGTGTTACCAACCCTTTTCCCTGCTGGGCTTCGGAGACATCCTCGTGCCAGGTTAGGTTCCACTTTCGTCATCAGTGTCTTCACAATCACTCTTAAAATATTCGTCGTCCCTTAAAATAAAAAGTCAAAAGTGTATTTCTGCTCCGAATCAGAATCTTAAATTATACTGGGGGAATCCGATGAGCTATGAAGCTCTTTTTCATAGATGTCCAGTATGGGCGGGTCAGCAAGTTACAAACGAGTCATGAGAAGGATTCATCACTGGTGGTGGATCAGAAAAATAGCTGGAAATTCCACATTCCCATGGCCACTATTGACTTCTCACAAAGTTGTGGTGTCAATGACCTCATACGGATCATGGGTTGAGTGGTTGCACAGTGGTTCACACACTTTGCTTTGAACCCAGCAACTTCAGTTCTCCTCCCGGCCACAGTCAACATCAGTGGCTCATGATATCTGAACTTGTCCTGGGCCACGCCCCTTCACCAACCCGTACTGACCAGCATGGTCAAGTATGGTCAAACAACCTCATGACTGTAATGGCGAGAAGGATGATTTATTCGCCAGTTTATTGATGGATAATTGTGGCTTAAGTTGATCTCTGACCACTTTTGAAGTTTTCCGATGAAAGGGAATATAAAATAAAATGAAAAGGAATACTGTGCAACACAACTCAAGCCCAAGTGTCTCCCTGCTTTAATTAACATTGGGTGGAATGCCATTGTGTTGAAAGCCAGTGGTGGAAATTCCACATTCTAAGAGTGGAGGCCAAGTCTCTCAATCGGACACACACGATCACCTGTGAACGTGATAATGTATGGCCCCATTTAGATTCAATGAAATTGTATTATTTTATTGTTTCCCTTCTACGTGACTTTACCGAAAGAACCAAGAATATGAAATTTCACAGTTAAGAATTATGATTTGTTGGAAGAATCCATTCTTATTCAACCCTTGTGTTACGTGTACACATCTTTAGTGGCTGTAGAGTTTCCAAGATACTGGAGAGTTTATAAACCGATTATATGTAATATATGCAGAGCATAATTGATTGATTCTTTCACAAATGCTTCAAAACATGTATTTGGAGAGTCAGAAATCTACTTCATTCGATGAATCCACATGTGACCAGTACCAAGTGGTGAGTAAAGGGTTCTCACCTAGTAAAATATTGTGGACAAACGAGCGTGTGGCTGCGCTGTCCCGCAGGCCTGCTGGTGGCATACTGCCACCGCTTTGACGTGCAGGTGCAGTCCTCGAAGCTCTACTTCATCGCCTGCACCATGGGTGAGGCGCGCACGCTGAAACCTCGCCAGTCACGCGTCACACCTTTTATCAGCTCGCTTGATGAAGCTTTTTACTGGCCTTATCTCCCGCATGTTCAAAGTAGGCTAAAACCGGTGCGTGTTAACATGTGTGAATTTGTATACGTTGTTGATAAAATAGGATGCGCAACATAGCGGATCATCCCAACATTTTTCTTACTGGTTTTAAGTAAGGGTAATGTTTTCTGCCATCGTTGATGAATGATTTTTGCTTACAAATAATTATATTGTCCACGTTGCAGCGTATGGGGTGGGGCTCCTGCTCACCTTCCTGGCGCTGGCGCTGATGCGGATGGGCCAGCCGGCGCTGCTCTACCTGGTGCCATGCACACTGCTCTCCAGCCTGCTAGTGGCGTGCTTCCGTGGGGAGCTCGGCATGTTCTGGAAGGGAACGGGATACACGGTAATGGGCTGGTGGGCGGGCGGGATGGGGCCTACCGGAATTCCTCGCGCTGCGGCATCATAGCCGGAGCTAGCGGGAACAGGAGTCGTTAGCCACGGGGGGAGCGCGGCCATGGGTATATAGTGCCCGTAGTCAGAATCGTGGAGTCGCGACAGATCGAGGATCAACGATCGATTTAGATCTCCGCTTATTGACGGCAACTAATGCCTCGTGTGGCACTCGTGGCAGGTGAGGAAATCCTGAAGAAACACCGTGGGTCGATCCCAGTGCATGTTAGCACTGGAATGGTTAACGGCAAGCGCATCCTCTCCGTTACTTGTCCGGCCACGCGCTACCGCTTACAATAACCACCTGCTGTCGCTGCTTGCCATTGTTAACGCCGCATCCCCCGCTCTCGCGTGTCTGTAGGTGTTGGAATCTTGAGCTCTGGAGCCTTGCTAGCAGGTGCGCATTGATCCGATCAATTTGTGATATGCGAATGCTCCCCTCAAGCTTGGCATCACTCCCTAGTCGTTGGCATGATTTGTCAGACTCGCTGTGAATATCGCGTGGCAATGTTTAGTTATTAGCGGCTGCCACTACTAGTCGTTTTAGCACTAGCACGGGAGACGGGGGGTCCCATCCTGCGTTGCCTTCACTTGCTTTCCATACGTGATGCTTCGTCCCGTAAAAATTATTTTTATTTTTCCAACAGGACACTGTCTCTTCCATGTGCTCTGGCTGGATTGCTTTTTTCAGGAATTTTACTTCAAAGTGCATCCATTTCTGCTGAAAAATAGAATCGTCAACGAGAGAAACTTCAAATGTGCACTTTAACAATGTTTTATGAAAGACTAAGTTACAATGGAAATTTCAGATTCACATGATGGCAGTTATTTATAAATCTTACGTATTATTTTTAGGTCATTTCCAAGTCTTGCGGCAAGAATGTGGCAGGAACCACCGTACCCACGCTGGGCGAGGAAGCGTCGGAACAGTCTCCAGACTCCGGAGACGAGACACCGGGAAGCGTGCGACCAGGAGGCAAGGTGCCCACCGAAGGTTCCCCGCTGCTCGGGAGTCTTTGAGCAACGGCAAAACTTCCGGGGGGGGCGGCGGCTGCGTTTCTTGTGTGTGCAGATGAGTCGCGAACAGCGGGACGAGAAGAGGCAGTCGCGTCTGCACGCTACGCTTGACGGACAGTCGGCTTGGGTTTGAGCAACATGGTATAAAACACTTTGAACCTTGAAGGGGTGTTTTTTTTCCCTTGTCACTTTTAATTTGTGATGACTTAGAAAAGTTACGCGCTGATTTATTGTTTTAATAGTGCTGTACAAAACAAAATGTAAAATACATTAATATTTTTGCTAAAGTCAAAAATCGCCAGCTTTTTTTGTTGTTCAGGGAACCTGGTGAGATGTTGCAGTGATTTATTCAGCCATGGAGAAATATCTACCACGAAGCCAGGCAGCCCAAAGAACAGCCACATATCCGGGTGCGTTCCCTTAGGTCGTCCTTAAACCTTCCCCCATTTAAATTCGATGTGCTCACTTGGAGACCCCTACCCATGAACACCGTTCATAAAGTTCTTACCTAATGTATGCGCTTGCAGATGGACATTGATTGCAGAAGTCGTCAGTTTCACGTGAATGGTATCGGGAGTGGCGAGGTTTTTGTTACCAAAAGTATGGAAACTTACACCTAAGTGTTGTACTGAGTTTGAAAGTATGGATGTTTCCAATTGGATTGGCATCCTGGAAGATGTTTTACTCTTCGATTTCAAACAAGATTATATTTGGGGATTGCAGAGAATGGAGCTCAAAGGTAAGAATCTGTGACTGCAATTTAGTTATTTCTTTTGAAGATGTTTATCAAACTGACATTAACAAAAGCGTCAAGAACAGGAACCAAGATCAGTAATTGCCAATTGCAGCCCGACAGTGTAAATGAAGCATTTTGCTCAGGGAGAGAAATACACCCATCTCGCCTTTTGTTCTCGACATTCATACGTTACGGGTGATGCTTGAAGCCGCACGGCCGCGACTTGGGTTCACAGGAGGGTAGGGATATCAGCTGGCTTTGAACTCCTTGTTGCACGTACCTGCCCTACTTCAAGGCCCTTTTGCAGCCGTGACACCGTGTTCAGGGCCGCTGTGCACAATTCACTAGACGTAGGTGATGTAACATGCAGGGAAAGCCAATGGGAACCGCCATCTCGCCCACACCCTGCCCAGAACGCTTCTAACGTGTATACAATAGATCACATGGTGTGTGTTCCTGGGGTTAGTTTTGAATGTTTTGCAACTGTGCACACCTGTTATCTGGGGTGTCTCTTAATAAGTACCTACGTGCCTTGGAATTTGCACTTTTAATCTTGGTGTAATTAAACGTGCGGTTTATAAGTTATCAAGCATGTTTTTTATGTGCCTGGCAAACGGTGTGGAACAATTTCTAGCAAAAAAACTCTTAGTAATATTGATTTGGTTTAATTATCTGAACAAAGTGAAGCATACCTTTTTGAGCAAGTTCTTTATCTTTCTGAAATATGAACGTGCTGAATAATTTGTATGCAAATACTCCGGGTAATATATTTAATGTTTTACCCTCCACAAGTTCACTATAGCCAAGACCACCTCAAATACATTTCTCATTTCCCCCTGGTGCTTTTTATCGAGCAGGCTTTGCAACATTACGTAATCTCCATAAATGGGTAAGGAGTTTGTTGCATTGCAGAATCGAAATGACATTTAATCCTTAAGTCAGTGGGCCTTCCGGATAATTGTATGCTAGTCGTATTTGTTTATTAAACAAAGCAAAACCTGGACCCATTTCATATCCAGTCTGAACAGCAGGGTGTAACCCAAACCATTGACCTGATGATATAGGCATCATTGTTTAGGTTCTTATATCGTATCTCAAGGGGAACTTCAGTGCTTGGCAGCCACATACCCCTTTTCATCTTAACTTGGTTTTCATATCTGCATCAATCTCAACCTTGAACAGTGCCGAATAAGTTATACAATGTGCTTTAACATTCTATAATTATGCACAATACTTGGCAGACAAAAGCCACTGGCACCTACTTCCAAATGTAATTCGCAGTATTCCGGTTTCCTTCAATGTCCCGCAATAAAAACTGTAATATGTGACACAGGGCATTGCCTGCACTTTGCGCAGCAATGCCGGTGACCCCCAGTTGGAGGGGAGAGAATGTGAGCAAACAGGTCTGGTCACGAGCAGTGGTTTATTACCAATTCATTTTCACCAAAAAGTGAGGCACACTCAGTGTTGTGAATGCAGCCGTAAACAAACAGCAAATAAATTCTGGCACCGATTTAAGAAAGTCCTTATATTCCCTGGTTCAGCTTTAAATATTAAATAGCTCCTTAATTTTCATCATGCATTATTTATTAAAGCACGATTTTGTCTCAATAGCTGCTGACAAGTTCCAAAAACACCACGTCTGGAAGACTTCCAGCTTAAACTAGTGACTTGATTTCCAGTTTAAACCTTCATTGGCCAGAACGCAGAGTGTTTGAATCAAGTACAGCTGAAGGCTGACAAATATCGTGGTCAGAGGATGACGCACGGGGCCTGGCTCTTCGTCACCTTCCCCACCTTCTCGCCCCCCTGCACCTTCTTCACCTCTGCAATGATCTGAAAAAGCAGGGATAAACACAGCAAGGTGTGAGCAGCCATAAGGCAAAGGTACAAGGTGGGGTTCATCAGGCACACAAACTTAGCAACAGCCTTGGGTTGAAAATGGGGAAGGCAGAGTTGTAAATTAAGTGCTGAATGTATGCAGGTGGTCACTATAGAGCTGCTTCCACACTGGTTACTGCGCAAAAACACTTTATAAAAGGCAGCCAATCACACCACTTAAGCACTATTCTTTGCCTCAAGCCAGCTCTGGCAAGGTGGCACACCTTGTTATACGTTCTCAACTCATTGTACGTGGGACACGAGGGCTCGGAAGGAATAGATCGGTGGGTAGGGCAAGGCTGAGCAGAACGCTTGGAATGGAGAGGGGTGCATAAGAGCAGGTAATTACGTCCTCGGCGAAGGGAAAGCCACCGCATTCCAGCTTGGAGAAGATGAGCTCGCCATTGATGGTCACTTCAAAACTACCTGCAGGAGGACACAGACAACGGTGAAAAGGCTCCTCGCAACTGGTAGAGGTACCAATACAACGCATTTAAAGAAAAGCAATAAAATACTATCAGAAACGATTATCCACTTTCATTCCTATATAAGCAACTGTTTCGTTCCTTATATAGGACCGAAACAGACTTCTACACAAATCTGGCTGTCGCCTGATGAAGCTAGTTGTAACGACTGGCAAAACGCTGTACTCAGATTGTAAATGTGGCTTGGCTCTCCAACACACCGGTGTGCTGTACTAGTGACGAATTGGCCACGTTCTGTTTACGTGACAACCCTTACTAGTTGGCTGTCGGGTGGTGGCGGGTTTTATCGACACATTTATATATTTACACAATCTAACCCAAAAAAACCCTCATGGATGATATTGGGCACGAAAGCCTACGTGTTAAACAGAAACGATCATCGTGACGCGATAGAAATGCCTTCTGAGTTGAGTGTGTGTGGTTGGCGATGAATGGGCGTGGCTCCCGTGAATTCGCGAGGGAGGGAGCTGAACTGTTCCCAAATGGGCACGTACACACCTTGGCCCACAAGCCACGCGCATGAGCCTGTCACCTACCCATGCCATCCACGCAGCCAATGGATCCGTTGGATCGGGGTTAGGGACAGAAGTCGCACGCGAGAGGAGGGGGCATTGGAGGAGGATAAATCCACTGGTCGTGGCAAAGTAGTGAGAGTGGTGACTGGAGGGCTCCCTGGAGGCTGGCACCTCGAGCTCTTGGTGCAGGTAAGTGGCGTCTGCAGGATTAAATCCCCTGCGCGGTTTGAGTTTGTGCCAATGCATCTATTGTGCAATGCTCGTGCTTTAGTGTCTGATGCTACTTCGTGATGAGATTAGAATGAATGCTGAATAACAATGTGTCGGTATAATATCGGCTAGACTCACAATATGCGTGGTGCACACGCGTGCCCAAATAAGACCGTGACCTGCCATTATTAAGGAGCCTAGATACACAACGCTAGACCATGCAGAATTGAAGACGACGTTTTATTTTACCGTGACTTGCACAGACTAACACACTCGCACGTACCTGACCGGCCCACTTGGCCAATAACCTCCACCCCAGGAGCCTGCTTTAAGATGTTGGCAGCCAGCTCCTGGTAGCGGGGCTCGTACCCTCAGCCACCACTGCACACGCACAGCAACAGAGACCAGATGCCGGCTTCAATTACAATTCCGTAAGCAACATTGCTGTCAGGATTGCCAAAGCACAGGCGGAAAGTACTTTATCTCAGTTGATAATGAATACAATTGAAAGCTGTTAGCAGACACTTGACATTCTCTGCATGGTGTGGTGTTCTTCCGTCACTGTAATTGCATTAAACACTCTTCAGCGCCTTTTTTTTCCCCCAGAGTTGTATGTATGTTGAACTTATTTTGCACCGTACGTAGAGTTGAAGGTTTAATAATAATATGCGGTGTTCCTCACTGTCAGGGATCTTGCACAAGAGTTGAATATCACCGACAGTTCTTGGAATCACTGATTTTACTTGACAGTGATGTAAGAGCCTTTTTCAGATTCTTATATAACCGAATAAGAAATGACCAATCGTTGAGTTATTGTGAATATCTAAATCTTGACTTAAAGCTTTTGCGACTGCAAGAATTAATATTCTTTTGGTCTTTCGGTAAAGTCGCGTCGATCGGTTCAAAGAAAATAAAACAAAAACTACGACGTTTCGATCACAACACATGCGTTCGTCATCAGGAAAGGGGGGGGGAAGGGGGACCAGCTGCTGTTACTTTGTTATTTTCTTTCAACCTATCTACGTGACTTTACCGAAAGACCCAAATAATATGTAAATATATAGTTTAGCGATTTACTATCTGAATATATGTCACTCGAGGCGGTTTCGATGTAACCATACCACGTGGTTCCAACCAGCACCTCCGATTAGCGCGGTTGGTTATGTATGGCGTGAAAGACGTTCTACAGTGACCCTGAATGACTGGTGGACGCTGCCAATCCTAAATCCCTTGTACACTTGAGACCCAAAACGTTCCTCCTCTCTACACCTACAATTGTTTTTATCTGCCCACAATTCTCTACGCACCTTTCACATTTTTTTTCGTTGTCCATGTTTTCAATACATTTGTAAGAAGCAGGTGATAATCGACCATTCCAAACCTTCTGTAGGCGCGTTGGTATTTTGCCTTTCGTTAGGTGTCTTTTTAGTGAAGCAGTCCCAACCGGATTTCGTCTGCATGCCATCATTGATACTGGTCCGCCTTAAATGACTGTCCTGGGTACGCTCTGCTTCTTACAATGTTATCCAATTTCGCTCGTCATATTTACCTTGGGCACATAATTGCAGACACCTTTATTGAATAACACAACACAAATCATACGAAGTTAATCGGCCACAATCGAAGACGTGTTTTGCAAATATTGCGGAGACGAACGAATGAGTGACGTAAACCTCAAACCACCTCATTCACCGTCGCCATGGTCATCTTAACGTCCAATGTGAATAAACCGAAGTGACTCAAGGACTGCGTTGCATGACTCACACGACGACAACAGGCCGCGCTCACACCGTGAGTCACGCGACAGTCAAAGGCCGAGCGCCCTCCGCGCACACAATGGCGCGGGCACTCGCCTCGGGTTGGCCGCCCCGGGGGAGCAGTGGCGGACATTTCCCCATTCCCATGGCACGGTCAAATACCTCAGACTAACGACCACGGCAAGCAGCGCCTCACCAGTACTCCACGTTTACGTTGACGGCCATCGCGGCGTCTGTCGGCGGCCGCCCGAGTCTGCGCTGCCACAAAGGATTCGGCTTTGGTGGCGGCAGTGACAGCTGAGATGACACTTCCTTTTCCGGTTTCTTCCCGGAAGCTAATGGAGGGCGGGGCGTGCGTAGACGCGATTGACCAATCAGGACGCGTTTGGCACCGCGACGCGTGAGGTTCTCCGCGCGCTTGACGTGGGGCGTCTCATCGTGACGTCATAAAGTAGCTTGTCCCTCATCCCAATGGCGTTAGGTTTTTATCGGTCTAACTTAATGTTGTTAATTTATTCTCCCCGCGAAACTCTGCGTAAATACGCCGCTCGTGCGTTTAAAGGCCGTCGGGCGCGCGCTCTAAATCGCAATGTCGGTTGAACGCGATTGCGAAACCGACGCGCGATGTGACGTCAGAACACGCCTTCGTTTTTGACAAATTAGCCTTTTTTTTAAGCTTTGTGACCAAGACGAAGCGGCGCACAGTGTATTCGCGGGGCGAAATTGTCATTACAACATAGTCGGTGCGAAGCTAAGAACTTTGCAATCACTTCCAACACCCCCTGTTGCGTAGTGACGTCACGCGGCGTTGTCACCGAAGCTCGGTTATATCGTTGCCGCGGAAACGCCGCCGAAGCGCTCGTGATGACGTCATCGCGAGCTCTTCTGCGTGCGTGAAGCGGGGGGGGGGGGTAAGTGGGCGCGGTGACGTCGGCACGGTGTGGGCGGGGCGACGAGTGCGAGCGGGCGGGCGGTTCGCGGGAGCGGCGCAGAGCGGGCGGCCCCGAGCAGCATGACCGAGCTCCCGTCCGCCCTGGCCCTCGCTGTCCTCCTCAGGAACAGGATCTTCTTCGGCTGGAAGCTGCGCAGGCTGCAGGTCCATGGCTAGAGGGCAAGCGCGCTCGGCGAGACGCTCGTCCCCGTGAAGAGAATGGTGGGTCTCACCGTCGCTCGCCTCCTGCTTTGGGTTGCCCGGGGGGGGGTGGTTCCTCCACGCGCCACCGCCACCCGCCGTGCCCGGGCTCGGTCGCCCCTCTGCCAGCCCCGGGTGCCGCCGCTGCCCCTGTGTCTCCCTGTGTCTCCCCGTGCCTGCTGCTGCTGCCCCTTGTCCCCGCCCGGCTGCTGCTTGCCGCTTGGCCCCATGCGCCGCGCTCTCCTTGCCCCACCACCATCACCGACTCGACTGCGCCGGCCGCGCCGTCCACGTGCGCGCCGCGCCGGGAAGTGGGGAGGTGGGGGCCCCGCGTTTGCGGTCACCGCCGGGGCTGCTGGCCCCGCGGGGTGTGGAGTTCCTCGTCGTGAGTGGGGCCGGTTCTGTGGGACAGAGGCGTCGGAGGAGAGGGAGCAGCGGGGTCCGTTTTGGGATGAAGAGGGGTAGAGGAGAGTGAGGAGGTGGGTGGGTTAAGAAGGGCAGGAGGACCTGAGTCGTGGTGAGCAGGAGGCGCTGCCTATTGTGAAGAGGGGGGGGGGGGGCTGGATTTGCAGCTGAATGGTGATCCTCTCTCTCTTCACCTGTACTGCTTTAAAGTACACGCAACGTGTACTTGTCCGCCGCGTAAGGTGACTAAACAATCGGCCACTGCCCGCAGTGAAGTCCCTGGCCCGATATGCAGCTTGTGAACCGGCGCGAACCGTACGCGCTACCCACAGCTTGTGAACATGCGTACCGTGCTACCTGCAGAGTGTGAACAGGCGTACCGTGCTACCTGCAGAGTGAACATGCGTACCGTGCTACCTGCAGAGTGTGAACATGCGTACCGTGCTACCTGCAGAGTGAACATGCGTACCGTGCTACCTGCAGAGTGTGAACAGGCGTACCGTGCTACCTGCAGAGTGTCAACATGCGTACCGTGCTACCTGCAGAGAGTGAACATGCGTACCGTGCTACCTGCAGAGCGTCAATATGCGTACCGTGCTACCTGCAGAGTGTGAACATGCGTACCGTGCTACCTGCAGAGTGTGAACAGGCGTACCGTGCTACCTGCAGAGTGTGAACATGCGTACCGTTCTACCTGCAGAATGTGAACAGGCGTACCGTGCTACCTGCAGAGTGTGAACATGCGTACCGTGATACCTGCAGAGTGTGAGCATGCGTACCGTGCTACCTGCAGAGTGTCAACATGCGTACCGTGCTACCTGCAGAGTGTGAACAGGCGTACCGTGCTACCTGCAGAGTATGAACAGGCGTACTGTGCTACCTGCAGAGTATGAACATACGTACCGTGCTACCTGCAGAGTATGAACATACGTACCGTGCTACCTGCAGTGTCAACCTGCGTACAGTGCTACCTGCAGAGTATGAACATGCGTACCGTGATACCTGCAGAGTGTGAACAGGCGTACCGTGCTACCTGCAGAGTGTGAACATGCGTACCGTGATACCTGCAGAGTGTGAGCATGCGTACCGTGCTACCTGCAGAGTGTCAACATGCGTACCGTGCTACCTGCAGAGTGTGAACAGGCGTACCGTGCTACCTGCAGAGTATGAACAGGCGTACTGTGCTACCTGCAGAGTATGAACATACGTACCGTGCTACCTGCAGAGTATGAACATACGTACCGTGCTACCTGCAGTGTCAACCTGCGTACAGTGCTACCTGCAGAGTATGAACATGCGTACCGTGCTACCTGCAGAGTGTGAACAGGCGTACCGTGCTACCTGCAGAGTGTGAACATGCGTACCGTGATACCTGCAGAGTGTGAGCATGCGTACCGTGCTACCTGCAGAGTGTCAACATGCGTACCGTGCTACCTGCAGAGTGTGAACAGGCGTACCGTGCTACCTGCAGAGTATGAACAGGCGTACTGTGCTACCTGCAGAGTATGAACATACGTACCGTGCTACCTGCAGAGTATGAACATACGTACCGTGCTACCTGCAGTGTCAACCTGCGTACAGTGCTACCTGCAGAGTATGAACATGCGTACCGTGATACCTGCAGAGTGTGAACAGGCGTACCGTGCTACCTGCAGAGTGTAAACATGCGTACCGTGCTACCTGCAGTGTGAACATGCGTACCGTACTACCTGCAGAGTGTGAACAGGCGTACCGTGCTACCTGCAGAGTGTGAACAGGCGTACCGTGCTACCTGCAGAGTGAACATGCGTACCGTGCTATCTGCAGAGTGTGAGCAGGCCTACCGTGCTACCTGCAGAGTGTGAACAGGCGTACCGTACTACCTGCAGAGTGTGAACATGCGTACCGTGCTACCTGCAGAGTGTGAACATGCGTACCATGCTACCTGCAGAGTGGGAGCAGGCCTACCGTGCTACCTGGCCACTGTTTGACGATTGATCTGAATGCTTTGCGCTTGGCAGTGTGCATGCATTCGCCATCCGACCTAGGCAAGCAGTTGTGAATATTTTATTACCGCTAGTAGATCAAATCAACATTGTACAGGATGCGCGTTACATAATTGTACGAGTCTAACACGTTGCGGCACATGGGCAGATTTCGCTTTATGGAGAACTCTCTCCTGTTCCCCCACCACCACCTCGTATATCTCAACGCCTAAAACATCTCTCGGTCTCTGATCCCCCGCGCCAGCGTGGCGAGATGTTAACTCCCTCGCCTGGTTTGCAGGATGTCATGGGTTCGATCCCGATCCTGACCGCCTGTATATTTGTAGTTTGCGTGTCTCTCTCCTCCATGGTCGCATGGATTTTTCTCCTGGTCACCTCCGGGTTTTCCCTCCACATCTAGAAACACGCGTTTAGAGTATTTGCCTGCAATGCATTTCCACACGATAAGCCACTTCATTGAGCTTTCATTTGTGGCCAGTTCGCTTCTGAAAACGGGCCATACTGTATAGCTCGGTGGGCCATATCTGGTCAAATAAAAAACATAGTAAAAATAGTCACGGGTAACCTTGTCTGTCTTTTGTAGTATTGGTTTGCTTACTTTTTTTACGTTCATACGTTCATATTCCGTTATTTATCACCTGTAGTGGAGCAGTCGTGCACTGGTTAGCGCATTGCGCTATGAACCTGCCAACCTGTGTTCGATTCCTGGCTACGGCTGACATTAGTAGCGGGTCGTGTCTGGACCGCTCCTGCACATCCGCCTCCACCACCAAGCCACCCTTACCAGCGTGTTGAAATATGGTCAAACAAACCCCCCTGAGTGACACGGCATGGGGAGGCCTTCATCCAGCAGTGGATCGAGAAATGATGATGGTGGTGGTGATTTATTATGTTTCTTGCATTGCCTTCATTAATAAATAAAAAGTTACGTGGCCAGTGGGAAATACAAAGCGATAGTCTTTAAGCACAGCAGAGAGGAAGGGGTGCGGTTGTGTTAATTTTGTTGACACAGCACTAATTGTATGAGAAGGGGGCGAGAGGTGATAATGGTACGGTTTGGCGGTCTTGGGTGGACATGCTGTCAGTCTCACTAAATAAACGTCTCGTTAATCTTCCGAGTGACGGTAATCATGATCCATTTTCTCCATAGCGGCTTGACAGCGTGTAGATATGGAGCGTGCCCTGGTTGCGTGCGTGCTCGCCGCCTCTTTCTGACACTGAGCCATTCGCATCATTTTTGCAAAGTAACGCAGGGAAGGGGGGAGGGCGAGATGGACAAGACGGCTCGTGCTCGCATCCTCATGCGCAATTTTGGCTCTGGACTGGCACAGTGCCTGGGCACACGCGGGCAGCGGCGGGGTTGCGTGCGACGCCGGTCGAGAGGATGAGATGGCGAGACGTGCGAGTGTCATGTTGTGAGAGGCGCTCTCCGCCCCCTACCGCAGCTGGCAAACGGCGCACGGAGTTTCCCCCCGGAGAGAGGTATTGTACACGTGTGTGCATGTTGCAGCACGTTTTGTTTATCCACTGCTGGATGAAGTTTTACTCACACCGCGTGGGTTGTTGGGGGTAGTTTAACCGTACTTTACCACACCGGTCGTTGTGCGTTGGTGAAGAGCGGACGGCATAGACGTGGGGGTATAGTACAGTACAACACATTTGGCAGCATTGACCTCTACAGCCCACAGCATGAGAAGGATGTTGTTATGTGTACTATATCCCCACGTTGATATCTGTTCTTTCGGTAAAGTTACGTAGAAAAATAATCGTAGATCACGACGTTTCGATTGCCACACTAGCGATCGTCCTCAGGTGGGATAGAGAAACAGGCT